GTGTTTCATAGTCTTTCGTTGCAGTTGTTACTGTTTCAGTAGCGAGGTAATATGTTTCTGTTGCTGTTTCCACGTTTAATGTGGACTTTTCGGCGTTTTTCTTCACAGTGGGAAACCTTCTTGGTAGGCCTGATATTGTTAATGAAATCACTGAGTGAGTGAGTTAAAAGTCGCATCGGTGGTATTTCAGCCATATTGTGACGATATCAAGTTATATACTTATAATAATTATAGGTAAATCATAAAACATGTCAACGAAAGACAGTAAAATAACTAGGTTATCACATATATAAATTTAAAAAATAATTTTTAAAACATTTTAACTAAACAAGACGATACAATGAAAATACAGGCTAAAGAACGCCAACACATGAAGGTATATCACCATACTAAGCACCATGGGGATGTTAATATTGGAGTGAGTGAGTGAGTTAGGATGCAGAGTCAAATCGGCAATATTTCAGCCATATTATGACTAAAACTAGTTCTAAATTCATAATACACACATATAATATATAAAACACTGTCAACGAAGGACAGTAAAATTACTAGATTATCACAAAATGAGTTAAAACTAGCCAGCATATATTTTTAATAGTAGAAAAGTATTTTGGGACAATACAATTTGAAAATGGGCTATTGATCTCCAACAACTGAATGTAGATCACCATACTAGGGACAATGGGAACTTACAGTACTTTTGCTATCTGCATGGACCATAGCTGGATTTATATCATCCTTTCTGCCGCTGGCGATTGTAGTCGATTTTAGCCATAAATTAAAATCACCAACATCCTACGTTTAAGGAATCTGGTAAGTTGAAATTTACTTTAAATGTTTCGGGACCTACGTACCCTCTCAGGATGACAATACTTTTACAATACTTCAACCCCCTTTGAGGGTGCAGCCATTAACAATCTAAGTTACTAGTCTAAACTACCAATCATTACAATATCTATCTATCTATCTATCTATCTATCTATCTATCTATCTATCTATCTATCTATCTATCTATCTATCTATCTATCTATCTATCTATCTATCTGTCTATCTATCTATCTATCTATCTACAGAACACATTAGCCACAATTCATCAATTAAATAAATTTCTTTAAAAAAAACAATAAATAAAAGAAAATTAACAGTGGTAAAACGATCCTTAACTGTAAATATTGAAGTCTTGACTAGACGATTCAGTCATCAACATCATACGCACCGATCTACGCAAATGGGGTACGAAGATCCATGCTAACCGGATGTTAAATTAATATGACAAGCCATCAGCCATAGTTTGCCTCAAATTATGTAACCAAAATACATAATGTTTTAATAATAATATTATTGAGTTGACAGTGGTGCTATATTGATAAGGGGCAGATTGGCAAAGCCACACCGTATATTATCCATGGAAGGGTTGCTGGACAGACCACCAAAAGATAAGTTGACGTGCTTGCACGCTATGTTGGGCTGTTTACGTGAGTGAGTGAGTTTTACGCCGCTTTTAGCAATATTCCAGCAATATCATGGCGAGGGACACCAGAAATGGGCTTCACACATTGTACACATTGTACACGAACTTCTGTGTGACGACCGAACGATTTAACGACTAGGCCACCCCGTCGCTCCCACCTTAACACTAACATCTTATGTCATGTCCCTTTGATATCAAGTCATAAACACATGCTAATGATGATGTATGAAAAGGACTTTTATTGTTATTGTTTCCTCCAAAAAGTATTTATAAAACATGTCGGTTTCTTTATCCCAGTCGTAATATTGCTTGAATATTGCCAAAAGGCGGTGTAAATTCATACTCATTCACCCAGTACGCTCATTTGAACCCTCCTCTGATGGTCTATTTTAACAATCATTTTCATTATCATATACCAACACACATTTAACACCCCGTTTTATATTAAGATTTCTTATGTCAGTCCCTATCAGTTAAATATGAAAAAAACCCAAGGACATTTCGAGTCATGTGGCACTGTGTAGACCGATAACATACTTTTTGGGGTCAAAAGATGGAACTGTGATTTAGTTTCCTTCTGCCGAGAAATCTAATCTCCTGCCAAGGCAAACACTTTCATTTGGACACTCCAGTATGAGGTAAGCGGAAAGCTTTAAAATAAGTAAATAGCACTTCCATTTCTCGTCCTGCTATCTAACAAACATCATAAATATATAACTTGATTTAGTCACGGTATGGTTGAAATACTGCCGATGTGACTTAAAACGGTAACTCACTCACTCTTAACAAACGTCAGGACTAATTTTGATTATATCCTGACCGCCGTCATACAGCTAGAATATTGATGAGTGTTTCGTCATGCGAAAAATAGACAAACAACAAAACAATTGACATTTTTTATTAACGCGGAATTCCATATTCTGATTACAAAGCTAGCATTACAACCTGCATCCTTGATCCGATGCAAAAGAAGTGGGACACCCAAGTAGGTATTAACAAATTACATGACATAAAACCCTATGTTGGTTACACTTACTTGCGTTGTCAGTCCAGATTTGAAGAGGTCATCATGCGACGATGTCGCATTGGCCATACAAGATATACTCATGAATGTTTGTTAAAAGGCGATAAATCCTCCGTTTTGCATCTTTTGTGATGAAAGAATCACGGTCAAGCATGTCCTGCTTGACTGTATTGATTCTTCCGTTACAAGGGACAAGTATTTCAATGTAAAAACTGTTAGGATATTTTTAGTACTGTTAATTTTCATTTAATTATTGAATTTTTAAAACAAATATAATTATTAGATACATTTTGATGAATAGTTTGTAAATAGATATATATTTTATTTTCGGTAGTTTGGATAAGTAACTGAGATTATTAGTGGCTATACCCTCAAAGGGGGATGAAGTATTGTAAAATTATTGTCCTCCTGAGAGGGTACATAAGTCCCCAAATAGTTCAAAGTTAATTTCAACCAACCACTATTCTTAATCGTAGCATATATGTTCTTTTAATTTATGACTAGATTATCTAAAATTGCCAATAGATGAAGGGATGGTGTTAATCAAGCTAGGGTCAATGCAGGAAGCAAAGGCACTGTAAGTCTCCATGGTCACTAGTATGGTGATCTACCTTCAGTTGTTGGTGATCTATAGCCCGTGTTTTATATTGTACTGTGAATATAGGTTGTCTCATAGGACATCTTTCAGAAAAAAAACCCAACTATCATAATTTGGTGTAGTGCTTTTAGTTTAAAAACAAAACTAGTATTGAAATTATCTTTTACTTTAAACAGGATGTGTGCGCTTTTGGAAAACATGCATTTCGTTTTCCTCAAAAAGGTTACCTTCTTTTGAAAAGTGAAAATTAGAAATGACTGTTAGATGGTCACATGATTGTCATTTTTGACAAGTGAAACCTAAGTTTAATAGTCTTGTATAAGCAGAATAGGAATAGTTATTTTGCCTTAAAAAGCAGTGCCTTCATATCTTTAACAATATTTCGTTTAATTGTAAATACGAATGATTATAATATCTCTAAATCAGTAACCAGATGAACCTTCTCTAAATATGGATTGGTCTTCCCAATTATTTTAGCCTAACATTTCGATAGCTTCACACCTTAGGTTTGAAATAGGCTGGCGCTTAACTTGTTATTCTCCAGGTATGGGTGGCTTAATGGTTAAAGATTCCGCTCGTCATGCTGACGACTCCGGTTCAATTCCCCACGTGGGTACAATGTGTGAAGCCCATTCCTGGTGATATTGCTGGAATATTGCTGAAATCATTCTCACTCACTCCTGAGATTCTTGCGAGCCGTATCAAGAAAATCCCAAACCATTGCTCTCTTCACATGCGCTGTTGACCCTGATTTGACATTGGATAGGCAAAGTGAAAGCACAAGGATCCTTTCTTAATCCCTCAAAGTGTCTCTGTGTTCATACATATTTAAGTGGGTTTGCCTTAAGTGATACTTTACAAACTGGGGAGCAATTGAAACTGCAAGTCAAAGATGATGCTTTCACATCCTTCAAAACCTACAGGATCATCAATTATCAAAAAAATAATAATACGATTTGTCTGTTGGTTGTTTAACGCTTTGCTCATTAATATGCTTGGTTCATGTCTTTTCACAAAATCTAAAGGACACACATAATATATATAACAGACTGAGTTTGATTTTACGCCGCTTTTAGCAATATTCCAGCAACATCACGGCGGGGGACACCAGAAATGGGCTTCACACGTTGTACCCATGTGGGGATTCGAACCCGGGTCTTCGGCGTTTTAACCACTAGGCTATCTCACTGCCCCCATAATATATATATAAGAGACACGGAGTAGTAATAAATCTGTTTAAATAGATTATTCATCAGAATATGGCTCTAATGTACCTAGTAAAAACTCTGAATGAAAAGGAATGCAGAAAAATGAGTGTGTCAAAATCGTTAAGTCTAGTAGCCCAAAGTATGTCCTAAGCTTGACTTTCATTAAACTTTAGTGTCATTACATTGTTTGTATCAGCTGATATTAATAGCACAGACAATTACTAGGCTCTGCCCTAGGACTGGTGCCTAAAGTTTAATAGTCTACATGTAAACCCAGAGTGATCATGGTTCAACAACTTTCTGTAGTAAACCATATTGTGATAATCACGCCATTAATAAAAATTACTGGTTGCCTGAAAGGAAATATATTGCAACCTGTGACCAACACCTGCCAAACAAAAGATACTATAAACTGTCGCAAACTGAAAGTCAATAAAGAACAGAGTACCATGCAGGCAAGGCGACATGCACTAAAACATATCTTGCAACACAGATATAGGTTCGTGGTGGACAGGTCTTGTTTTGACATCAATTGTTTAGCAGAAGCATATCGTTACAAGAATATTCACAATAGGACAATCATACATTTAATTTACTGTACCAAGTTGTATATACCAAAGTCTTTCGTAATACAGATGTCATAAATGTGCCATCAACATCGGGGACGATCCGGCTATGAACAATCTTCGTTAATACATCATGGTTCTCATTTGGCAGCCACCAACAGAACGGTAAATTGGAAGTACAGCCACTATTTGTTGGAGGTCAAATCAACCAATGCATAAAGCGACATTGTTGTATCATGGATTGTCAGTGTTGCTAGTCATTAATTGCACGTTATTTTTCCGAACAACCCTCCCCTAATAAAATAAAAACAAATTAAAAACAAATTAAAAACAAAAGAAAAACCGCCCCTCCTCAATAACTCACCTCACCCCACACACACACACCAAAAAGAGTGAGTGAGTGAGTAGGGTTTTATGCCGCTTTTCAATATTCCAGCAATATCACGACGGCGGGGACCCAAGAAATAGGCTTCACACATTGTACCCATGTGGGGAATTGAACCAGGCCTTCGGTTTCGAGCCAACTCTTTAAGCGCTGTGCTGACCCCTAGGGACAAGCGGACAAGTTTTATATCTACTATTAGTCATCATATCACTGGATTGTCTTGTCCAAAGTCGATTATTTACAGACCGCCGCCACATAGCTGCAATGTACTGCGTTTAACAAAAAACACACAGACCCTACCCTCGTGGTATTGATGGAGTATTTCTCAAAGAGATGAACAGCCAAACTCATCATCCCACTTTGGTTACAGACTGCTCCAGTTCCTGCTGTGCTGGTTCCTAGGATCAGTGGCACCCAGTCCTGTTGACCAGCATGCTACAGAGGAGACAAAGCTGCTTTGCGCCAACATGAAGACGTTCGCCAACGATGCCAATAAGATCATATTTGGCCACCAAGAGGACACGTGGCTCGGGGCATCGGGAGGAAGAGCACCCTATCAGTACTCTGACTTGAAGCATAATGGAAGCATTAATGGATGGATTTTTATTGTAAGTTTACTGAACTGATAAAGGATGACAACACTCATTGACAACGATCCCCTACCTCTGGCGCAACACCACTATGATTCCCCATGTTTTAAAAATTGTCCCCAGATTCAAATTGCTCAGGGAAAACTGCCGCTATGAAAAATTGACCCTGATAACACAACTGACAACGTCATGCCCAGAGAATGATCACTTTCAAATCACTGTCTTATGTAAACGTCAAATATAAAATGAACATTTCACGGGTGATTGCAAATTATTGATGACACTGTGGCTCGGATGACTCCACAACCCTGCAGATCCGGGTATAATTTCAGAATAACCATTGTCGATTTAATGAAAAACAGATATCAGCGATCACTTAACAATGTTATCTTTTAACTTCAATCTGGTTTTAACAGTTCAACACATACACCAAATAACGCTGTGAATCGCGATTCTGTTTCATATATCTTCTGTTGCATCATTCGACCCGTGAAAATATTAGTTAAATTGATCAATCAGTAACCAATGCTGTTTCATATATATGGCGACTAACGGGATCGGTTGGTCAGGCTCGTTGACTTGGTTGACTCATGTCATCGTATCCCAATTGCATAGATAGATGCTGTGCTGTTGACCACTAAATTGACTGGTCCAGACTCATTTATTTACAGACCGCCGCCATATAGCTGGAATAGTGCTGAGTGCGGCGCTAAACTAAACTCAATCACACTCACTCACTGTTACATAACTCAGATTGTTAGTGGCTGTACCCCCACAAGGGGGTTGAAGTATTGTAAAATTATTGTCCTCCTGAGAGGGTATGTAAGACCAAAAGTTTCAAAGTCAATTTAAACTTACCAGGATTTTAAACGTATTATTCTTGTTATTTTAATTATGGCTTACATTTCTACAATCGCCAGCAGCTGAAGGGATGGTGTAAATCCAACAAGGGTCCATGCATGTAGCAAAGCAACTGCAAATCGCCATGATGCCTAGTATGGTGATCTACCTTCTGTTGTTGGCGATCTATAGCCCTCTTTTTATATTGTATTGTCCCAATAGTGCTATTAGTTTTAACTTTTCACGCTAGTTTTAATTCTAATTATGATATTCTAGTTGTTTTACTGTCCTTCGTCGACAGGATTTTATAATATACATATATTCCACTTCAATGTCAAATATGTTCTCGTCACGATATGGCTGCAATATTGTCGATGTGTTACGTTAAACTCACTACCTCACTAACTCACTCACTACTCACTCACTCACTCACTCACTCTTCCAGCTTCAACAAGCACAGGCCGGTGACCCCGATGCCTTATCGGACGTTCTGGAAATGACCGGGCAGCGACCAGCCCTCACAGGGTTTGACTTCTTCCAGCTTGATGACGACCACATGTTCACCATGTCCTACCTGGCGAAGCTGGCTCATGCCAAAGGCCAGATAATCACAGTAACACAGCTTCTGGACAATCCCATCACCAACGGGTCAGCCTGGGTGGAGAAAGATCATGGTCAGTTTCCTCACATTGTGAGACGTCTTTTGCCAGGAGGAGACTTTAACCATGTGTACAGGCAGAACCTGGATAAAATTGCTGACTGGGCTCTAAACCTTAAGGATTCGAAAGGTAGACTGATTCCTATCATATATCGAGCACTGCATGAACAGAAAGGAGAATGGTTCTGGTGGGGGTTGAATAACAAGGCTCACAACACACCTCAAGATGTCCAGAACCTTTACAGATACCTTGTAAGTTACCTACGAGATACGAAGGGAGTGCACAATATTCTCTATGCTATATGTCCAGACAAATTCAAGGATGAAGCCGATTATCTGAAGGTATATCCTGGCGATAACTATGTTGATATAATAGGAACAGACTACTATTTCGATAACGGTAGTCATCCATCGACTGAAGACTTCAAGCGCACTTTGGAGCAGGTTGTGGACATTGCGGAGCGACGTGGGAAAACAGCTACTCTAACGGAAACCGGCATTCGTTATAATGGACTTGACAAGGTCCACAACTTCTGGAATGACCATATCCTTGACGTGATCAAATCCAGTCCTAGGGCGAGTCGTATAGCCTATGTCTACGCCTGGTCAAATCACTGTTTCGGACAGGGAAGATGCGAGGTCTACATTCCTTATAAAGGGCATCCATCTGAAAAGTATTATGTGAACAATTTCTTCAAAGACTCTATGACATATTTTCTCAATAGAATAGGGAATATATTTTCTTGATAGAATAGGGAATATATATTCATAGACAAAATACACTGCTGAACCAAAGGAAGTATACACCCTTTTTAATGGTTTCTGACAAAAAATTCAACAAAAACATTTTACAGCACGTTAGTGAATGAGTTTGGTCCTGTGCCGCTTGTAGCAATATTCCTGCAATATCACCGTGAAGGATACCAGAAATGGGCTTCACACATTGTACCCTTGTGGGGAATTGGACCTGAGCGTGACGAGCGAATGCTTTCACTGATTTAAAACGTATTTCCTCTTTAACCTTCGGGCCGCTTCTCATCCAAAAAACTTTTTCAACTCATGTGTACTTGAATGCCTTGTCCTATACCTTGCTCTTCCTATACCATCCATGTTCTTTTTCCTCTTTTTCATTTCGTCTGTGACCACACTTAAAGATTCATCATCATCCAAAGATAAATTATCATCATCATCATCATCATCATCATCATCCATTTCAGGACATTGTTTATCTATGTAACTTACATTGTAAATGTATTGAAACATGAGTTCACAGTAATCACAAGATGGCATTGTTTGGAGGTTTTCTCACACATCAGCTCACTTTGAAAATCTAACTCAGACTGAATTTCCCTGGCTTGGAGGTGTCATTTTAAAATGAATACATTTGGACAAAGTTGCAAATTTGGAGGTGTTTGTGGTTTTAGATCAACCAACAAGTATCTATAAGGTTTTTGGGTAGCCCTTTATACGGATCCATGAAATGTTTATAATTTTCTGGAGACATTTGCCTTGCCAAAGTCATGAATGGTTGTTTATCAATAGGGTTGTTGAACAGAAGCAAATAATGAAGGTTTCTTCTTTGAGTAGGGTCTTTGCTGTAATACACATTCTGGTTCAAAGCCATCACTGAGAGATTGACTTCCTTCAGTATACAGATCTGTAACACGTGGATCTTTGCTCGCTGTTGACATTAAGTTATTGAGGATAACGGCGTTCACACTTGGGTCCAGAAAGGAACACTTGAGGTCAGAAGGAATGCCTTGATGAAGTTCAAAGTTGGGATAAACACAGGTTTGAATGGTGTTATACAGTGGCTGCCATCGTTTGTAGAGCCATATAATGCGTTCAGAATAAGGTTTAGTGTACATCTGTTCTAGAATCCGCTTCTCTAAGTAGGTTGGCTCAAATTGATTTAGTAGCCTAAATTCTTCCAAAGACAGGATAGCACTTTCTGATAAATGTTGTTGCAGTTGGTTTAGACGGTATGCATATGAGGAGAAGCAGAGGGTTGAAAATGTTTCTGTCCCCGATGTCTCCACCTATTGTCTGTCCTGGAAAAATCTGACTGCATGGTGGTTCGAGTTTAAATGATGATGAAACAGTCTACTATCTGCTTTTATCTAAAAAATCGTCTTCTGTTTCTTCGTGCACTTCTGTGAGGAAAAGAATTTTCCAGCTTTAGATGCCTCTTTCTTTTGCTTCTGAATAAAAGCCTTAGACTGTCTGACCACTTGCTGGGTGGGTGAGTTTATTTAGGTTCATTTTAAGAAGAAGACTGTCCCTGTTCTTCTCTTCTCTTTTGTTCTTCCAAGATTTTAGGCCATCCAGGATCATAAAGTTCCAGAATTCTATCCCCAGAGAGCATACATGTTCTTTATCACCTTTTAGAACAGACAAAATAGGGATTAAATTGACCTTTGACTTGAAACATACACTATTAAGTCCATTTTGCCGTATTGGGCACAGCAGCTTGTACTGTGAATTATTCATGAAGAAAACGGGAGCAGCTTGTGGTGAAGTGTCATTGTCACTGGTTCACTGAGAAATGAAGCTGGATTGCCCTTGTGGCGTTTTATATAAATATCCACAGACTTAATTGACTGTCAGCTTTCAAGCCTCGTACAACTTCTTGGTCCAGCATAACTATCATCATTTGGATCATAATTCCTATTTCCTATTCAAGTACCCTTCCCATGGAGCCATGACTCCAAATAACAAGAACATGCAAAGATATAACTAGTAATATTGTAGAAACAGATGTCAAAATAATACCATCAATTGTTTTATTCACATACAGATAAAACAAATCAAGGACAATATTTACAACTGCAACTTTTCGTGGACATACATTAATGGTTTTCCCAACAGGTCTTACCCCGGCCATTTCCAGGGTAATTATTATCTTGATGAGATATATCCATTCCTATCCCCCATCTTTTATCAACGGGGCTAGCTTCAGCTAACTCCTTGGGAGAGGATTGAATGAATACATGTTTCAAGTCATTGCTCTGGGAAAATTTAGCTATTAACGCCTGAGGTATAACATCAAGACTGACAGTGTCCCACACAGCCTTTCACACATCAAACAAAACGGTTTTGCTTGACTCTTGGTGCAGTCTCTTGTAAAATACAAGTGTATGATCAATAAAGTAAATAGAATGTAATACTGTTTAGTACAACTGAAGATACGATTATCTGGGTCTATGATATACTTCCCATCAAAAGTTTATACTCACTTAAAACGCTCACAATATGTTATGTATATATATATATATATATATATATATATGTATGTAACCTTATGTATGTGTTATGCATATGTATATATATGTTAGCGTCAATAAAGAAAATCCGTCAGTAGCGTTACGGCCTAGTCAATAAGGTACTACCTAGCCAGTAGCGTTACTGACTTAAACGACTAGACAGTAAGTTTACTGACTGACTTATTTTTCATTTTTCTGCTTATTGCCTAAGTCAGTAGCGTTACTGACTACACCATTTCCAAAATATTTAGATTTTAATAGATATATAATTATTTCTCCATTGATTGTATTAGAGTGAAATACGGTGAACCCAAAAAACTGTAAAAGGTAGTACCAACATTCAATGTCACAATGCACAAGGGATAGGTTATGTTAACTGGGTTATGTCGGCTGGATATTGTCAGCTGTGACGGAGTTTCCTTATTGACACTAACATATGCATATACATATATATATATATATATATATATACACACACACACACACACACACATATACATGTATATAGTCACCAGGATCCATATGACAACGGAGACCCTGTAACTTGTGACTTGTCAGTAGGGTCAGGAGTCTCAAGACCAAGCACTTTCATGGCTTCTGTCTCTCCACATTCCTCCAAAGCTTTGCAGAAGAGTGTGTAAACTTTTAGCCCCCACCGAGGTAATGTAGACAACATTGACACGGTCAAAAGAGGTTTGAGTACATTAGGACTGTAAGCGTTGTATAACTACCATGAGGTCGGAGCAATTCTTCTTGAGAACATCATGGTGAACTGCTTCCATTTTCTACCTTCGAGATAAACAGCCAACAGAACCAGTAGGGTCAAGAGCATAGAACGGTTTTCACAGAGAAAAGACGTTCACTTCAAAGATTTAGATGAGAATTAATTTCAACACGCTGTTTGAGAGAGAGAGCGATTGATTGGAATATAAGGCCATACGACCTACAGTACAAAATAGTACATAATATAATTATTGAGTTACCAATATGTACATAGTATGGATCGAAGAAACGAGTTTGCTAACAATGTTCCGCAAAATAAACGTATTTTAAATATTTCACAGAGATGTTGATGATATTAATATCAGAGGATGTACAGAAACTTTGAATGGAGACGTAATGCCCATTTGATGCCTTTGGACACATTTGCATACAAGACCATACGACCTACTTTACAACAAATGTTGTGTCGGACCATAGGGCATCTAACCGACTATATACTGCGGCACACTTATTTCACTAAGGGTAATGTTGTATGCTGCATCAGGTAGAGTGACTGTTCTCGCATACAAGAAGACAACCACAGGTGACCTGTAATGCTGAATACATAGTCATGAGACAACAAATGTTATTCAGTTCCTCACGCCAGCCAATCGGTAGCAGTAAACATCGAACCATACAGAGGTGTGCACGTTCACATCACTCTAACAGACAAGGACATTTTCAGGAATTCAGTACATGTCATTTCTAAAGATGGCCACGTTTATGTGCCTCTCCTGGTTGCTGACATGTGCCTCCCTCATCTGTTTATGTAGAAACCAGGGCAGTATTGTGTCTGTTCTAAGCAAACTGGAACAGTTAAAGAAGGATCTGATAGATAATAAGGTGGATATGCTTGTCATGCAGAAAGGAATACTTAACACCATTGATGTTGCAAGAGCATCCTTGAGAGCCGAATTTAAGGAAAACATACGTGGTGAAGTGAGGAAAGCCATGGCCGAGATTCTACAAGGGGAGTCTCTTCTAGACATGGTGAAAGGTCAGGTTGTATCGGAATTGCGGCATCTGAAACGGGGTTATCATAAGATGAAGAGACAGTGGCATCATGTTTCAAGATCGCTCAGAGACTTCCAGGACGAGACGAACGTATTTCAAGAATCTATTCTGAAGAAGGGATATGTGCGGAATCGAGTGATATATGTGTCAGAGAGAAGCATAGACTGGAAATAGAACTACAGAAGTGTGACGTTGCCACTACCACTCTGAAAGCTGACATCAAACGATGTTCCACATTGAAGGAGACGTGTGAGTCACAAATGTCAAAACCTTTAACAAATGTCACTGTGTCTCCTTCTACCCCAACTCCTCTAAATGCTACATCAACCTCCAGGACATCTGTGTCAACAACGACACCCAGGCCAGAGGAGAAAAAAAGTAGGATTTTGATAGCTCTCACCTGGTCAAGTACTCCACATCAGTTCCGTCAACTCAGTATTCACAGGAACTCCTTTACTGTTTATCAGTATCTCAACATGAAGTGGGTGACTAGAATGTCTCCACAGGGGAAAGACTTCACTTCCATCGTTGACTTATCCTAGTACGGGGGCGTTCCAAGGCAAATAACTCTTGACCCAAAGAGAAAGAGGATAAATATATGGATGTACTGACGGGAAACTGTTCACTGTGACATATGATGGTCAAGGTCAGACAACATTAGCCACAGGAAGCGAAGTGTATGCTGTAACCCTGGATCAGACAGCAGGTGTGTTGTATTATGGTGTACAGAAGAAACTGATGAAGATGACTATGTCCAATAATGTGAGTACAGAGGTGACCACACTGAACGCCGTCCCCTGGAACATGAGACTGTATGGAGGCACCATCTACTACAGTAGCTACAAATCTCCTATTGTAGGTGCAGTTGATGTGACCTATAACACTGTGGCATATACTCTCCAGTCAGTCAGTATGAAGGGGGCTAGTTCTTACTGTATTTGTTTGATTCCCTAAATGTATCAATCGCATCGACCTACGCAATAGGGGTGATGACACCAGGTGTTTACGAAAATGTTGAAAGGTGAGGTATCTGCAGGTACAACTTTCATCCAGAGATATCAAAGCTATGAGAAACCAACGCTTGTGTCCTTTATCGTCAACTGTCCTTGAGGTCAGTACATGTCTACAGCGCCTTTTACAACTTAAACCGTCAGTCATCTTGCTGAACACAACGCGTTTTGCCAAAACAATTAATTACACACTTCTACTAGGTAAACGATACTATTTACGTATTGCCATGAGATCCATTCTATGTCCAGATCCACCTCAACCAAACCTCTTTAAAATATTCTACTTACTAAAACCTAATCATTTCTGTGTTTAGATTTACATACGGGCAATACTGAATTTTTAGATATTATAAACGACTCATAGTTTTCTTGTCCATAGTACTTACTTACCGAAACTAAGAACAACGTTCTTTCCGGTTACAAGTTTACTGTTAGCATCCTGTTTCAATATACTGTAGAGAGGACCCGTGAAGATCAGTGTTAGAATTGATATTCAGCAACCCATACTTGTTGATCTTGTGGTCAGGCTTGCTGACTTGGTTGACCCACATGTCATTGTACCCCAATTGCTTGGATCGATGCTCATGCTGTTGATCACTTGATTCTCTGGTCACTTAAGATATAGGAACACTAGCATATGGCTGACTAATGAACAAAATCAGTGTTTTATGTCTTTAATTCTGTGTAATATCTCAGCAACTTAAAACTATATGGACTGTATGGTGATTTGTATATAATTGCGTCTTGACCAGACAATCGAGTGGTTGGCATCATGCTACGTATGTGGGATACTATGACATGCATCAAATAAGTCAGCGAGCCTAACCACCCATTCCAGTTACTTGCTTCTTACGATATAATAAGCATGGGTTGTAACAAAAGACAAAACCCATTCAAGTATGTGCTAAAAGTGGGAAAATTTCTCGTTTTTATTTTGAAGATAGCGCTGCTTTTCAAATGTATGCGTGAATGCCGCTTGTTGTATTCAGTCTGCAACGCATAACAGTTAGATAAAATTAAACATGCCCAATCCCATGACCTGGTCTTGTGCTTAATCTACTTATATCAAGGACAATAGTTGTGGAAGCAGAAAAACAAGTGTACTTGTCCTCGATATTGGACTGTAAAATGTCCGTCAGAGGTCAGAGGGTATCACTAAAGGATCTCAGGGACATCGTCACCTGACCAAAACATCTTCCGATCCGCCTTGAATGCGCTCGCCTAAGCGCCTTTGTCACAGACTTCGCGTGTACCTGATTTTGTGGATGAAAGTCATATGCATAAAATGTTACACATTTAGATCTGATCGGGAGTGTTTCTGCAGGTGTCCATGCAAAACTTTCAGACAACGTGGATGACTTTATCTTTAATTGGTATGCAAATATATACAAAAAACGTAATTAAGCTCTCCCTGTATTTTGAAATGATAGGTTTTCAACACCTACATAAACATAACACTTCTCACCCGTATGCTCTTTAGACTCATACAAAAAGACAAAATGATTGGAATCTATGTAGATTTTATGATGATAATTGGTCATTTTAGAACGAAAACACTAATTTCATGCAAAACCATGTCTGTACAAATATGGCCCTGGAATGTTTAATGTTGAATTTATTGATGAATGTGAACATTCAAAATGTCATTTTGCGTGTCTTACACGATTCAAAGTCAATACCGAGTGTACCTCCATGTGACTGTATGGCAGCCAGCACCCTCCTCCTCATACCTCCTGTCAGCCTCCTGATCCTCTGAAGGGGCAGTCTACGCCATTCCTCTTGTAAAGCAGCTCCCAATTGGGCCAGGTTATGTACAGGAGGATCTCTTTGTTGCGACCAATCATGTCCCAGATATGCTCCAAAGGGTTAAGATGGGGGCTCCTTCAATCGTGAGAAATGGCATGGGGTGCTTAACTAAGTTCTTGCTGTATATAACAATAGCATATTGTTTCATAATGCTTTAATTGTCTGTACACGGAATGTGATTTTCACGTTTAACAAAACGTCGTCACATGAGTGTGAAACGTCATGAAGTTTCATGAAGTGAGTTCTTTTTGTGTAGATTTGCACTTATTACATGTGTAATAACGCCATCAGTTCCAAATGAATTGCCGTGCTTCAAATACACAATAACACCCGAAAATTGACCTACACATGATGTTTATCGACATTGTAAACACAAAAGTAAGCCAGAAGGCCCACATGGGTTTTACTGTCTGCACTAATTTACATAGAGTACGGATACAGCAGTGAAGTGTCATCTGCTGGACGTTTCAGATGGTTGCCATGGTAGCATCTGGAACTGCTCATTTGTGACGTCATTCCTTCACAATATGATTTGAATGACGTCACCACTGCTGACGACGCAACAATACAATTGTGTGCGATATTTGTAAGTGTCAATACGCAGCAAATAATCTTGCAATTTCACAAATTCATGTGGTAATTAAATATAGCTGGCATTGAGGGAACTTCAGTTTTTAAAAGAATGTTAGAGAACAAGGGCGACATGAGATATTGACTGTCACCAGGACAAACAGATCTATTTACGAGTTTCTTCTACACACTGAACGTTTAGATCTACCTTGGGTTGTTGGCAATCTATAGCCTGTTTTATATTGTATTGTCAAGTATAGTTAATATGTTTTAGATTTAATTACTAGTTTTAAATTTCTATCTGTGATAATCTAGTTGTTTTACCGTCCTTCGTTGACTTGTTTTAGTCACGATATGGCTGAAATATTGCCAATAATTTTAACTAACTCACTCACTCACTACACACTGAACATGCACTTCAATTGAGTGTTTCGTGGAAATATATTTTCTTGACCACGACCATATTTGCTCAAGACTGGCCAATCAATATGGGCAAGTAACAATTAGGCGATTGTTGGTAATGTATAAATTGTAAACTTACCCTGGATATACCATTGATAACGTCAGTTGCCACGTGCACATTCAGAAGGCACAAGGAACATTTTTCACGTGCATTAAAAAAACGTTCACTCATTCGGGTATCAGTTTCTTGAAAATATTTTACATGCGGTAATGAAATGAATGTTATAATTTAAGTGAGTGAGTGAGTGGGTTACAGTTTATGGTCACAGCGGCAGTATGTCAGCCATATCGTGACTATAAACAGTGATTAATTGATGATAAATTTGCAAATTTTAAGAAGCTGTCGACAAAGGTCAGTAAAAGCAACTAGTATATCACAGTAACAAGAAATAAAACTGGCATATATCTCTAAAATAGGATGTCAAATTGAGACAATACAATATAAAAAGGTTGAGGATCGCCGACAACTGAAGGTTGACAAAACCAGACATGGTGTGTCGTGTTCACGTTCATAAAAGTAAAAACAAATAATCGCTGAAATTCACCTCAGTTGTTAATGGTAAAGCAATATTCAACAAAGCTACAAACAATAGATCAAAACAAAAAGGTATTTATTAACTATAAATTGTAGCCAAACTTATGAGGAGGTCAATCCGATCATGTTATTGTATTATTCATAAACTATCAATGACGGTATTCAGAATGTGTTTTCAGAGTGACAGTTTTGATTGACTCTGTGTCCTTTATTTATATGTACAGACTGTTTATTTAAACATATCTGGAATATCATCCGCAAACATGGTAATTGGGTCGTTGAAGAAGTTGTTCCTGAAGTCGTTTTCAGCAGGATGGCCTTTGTAAGGAACCCACAATTCGCAATTATTCTTGTTACAATGATTAGCCCATGTGAGAATGTACGCAATACGACGACTAGTCGGGTCAGTCTTTATGACATCAAGGATCTTATCGTTCCAGAAATTAGTCTGCGTATCAATGCCATTGTTAAACAGCCCAGACTCTGACACAGCAGCTATCTTGTTTTTTGACTCGGCTATCTCCACTAAGTCTTTCATTATTCTTGAAAAGCCGCTTGTCTGAACCGATGGTGATGTGTAATAATAATCTGTTGCAATAACATCAACGTAATCATCGCCAGGGTACACTTTGAGGTAATCTGCTTTGTCCTTGAACTTGTCCGGGCTGAAGACATACAGGAAGTTGTGAACGTTCTTTCGATCACGTAGATACGTAACTATGTATCGGTAAAATGATTTAAGATCATCTTCTGTATTTTGAACCTTATTTCCCAATCCCCAATAAAACCAGTCTCCATTAAGCTCATGAAGAGGTCTGAAGAGAACAGGGATAAGCTTTCCTTGGTCGTCTGTCAGGTTGTGAGCAATTTCGGCGATCGTGTCAAGGTTCTTCTGGTACTTCCAGTTGAAGTCTCCTCCTGGTAAGAGACGCCTCACGGTATGGAGGACAGTTCCGTTGTCGTCTTCCACCCACGGACTTCCACCAGTGATGGGGTTATACAAATGCTGGCACAGGGTTGTAATCACACCTCGCTTGTGAGCCTTCTTGGCAAGATGGGACACAACTGTTTTCCTGTCACTACTCAGCTGCCACAGCCCGAGGTCGATTACTGCTGCATACTGGCCTGTCACGCTCTTCACGTCAGACAACTCATCGGGGTAATCTTTCAAGGCTTGATCAACCTGGAGTATATGAGACGAAGACTGCCAGTTTGGATGTCACATACCTAAATCATGTCGACGTGCAAATGATACCTTTTTTGTGAACATATACGTTATGACTTAATTAATCTGTCTGTCCATAATCATTATCGTTTACACGAGCAAACAAAAGGGAATTGTGTCAAAATATGTAATCTGAATCCTTAAGATGTTTGTTAGTACGACTACGGTTTATTTGTAAAAGTCATAAGCATATTGATACATATCATAATGATTTGCTAACAATCCTTTCAATTTGGATTCTTTTGTGGGGTTTCCACAACGGAATTGATCCTGGGTAACCCTAACATCCTTTCCCTTGTGATGAAAGAATGTCTTGTTTGACTTTGTTGAGTATTCCATCACAAGGGATAACTATTTTAAATCACAAACTATGAAGGATCTTTTTAATAATATCAGTTCTCATTTAGTTATTGCATTTTAAAAAGAATTTTAAAAGAATTATAAATGATTGTTAAATGATTTGTAAATAGGTAAGTATTTTATAATTGGAAGTTTGAATTAATAACTAAGATTGTTAATGGCTGTATCCTCGAGGGAGGTTTAAGTACTGTAAAATTATTGTCCTCCTGAGACGGTACGTAAGTCCCAAAACATTCCCAGTAAATCAAAACTCCACTTTTTAAATCGTAGAATATGTGTAATTTTAATATATCGCTAGATTTGTCTCAATTGCTAACAGCTGAAGGGATGATGTTAATCCAGCTAAGGTCCATGCAGGAAGCAAATGTACTGTAAGTCCCCATGGTCCCTAGTGTGGTGATCTACCTTCAGCTGTTGGCGATCTATTGCACGTGTTTTAGACTGTATTGTCTTCTTTAATTGACATGGTTTAGCTTTGCTCGCTAATTTTATATGATATCTGTGATTTTCTAGTATTTTTACTGTCCATCGCCGACAGGTTTTAATCTTCAAAATGTATTCAGCTGTTTTCATATTGTATTGTCATCTATAGTTACACTGTTTTAGATCTAATTACTAGTTTTAAATTCGAATCTGTGATAATCTAGTTATTTTACTGTCCTTCGTTGACAGGTTTTTACAATTTACCATTAAATTACTCTGTATAAAATTAATTGTTCTCGTCACGATGTGGCTGAAATATTGACGATGTGACGATAAATTTCAACTCACTCACTCTCTCACACATTCCTGAACACTGTACTAAGGATACCTCAGTGACTTCCGATCACCTTAGTGCTTTGTGAAAGGAAGCCCTGTCGATGTGTCATCAATCGTACCAAGAGGGGAGCGTACTGTCGAGAATTAGGTGAGATTTGTACTTGTTGTGTATTACTATATGTTATCAACTGGTTTAGCAGACCCAGCGTTGGGGTATATACAGATCACTATGTCATAACTTGAATATTGTTGACCCTGACGTAAAACAATATTTACCCAGTTAATCAATATTCATTACCGAGTCATTTCATGTCCACACATCTTTTCATCAAATATGACTAGTAGTATCGCAACTGCGGAGATCGATGCTCATGGCGTCAATCCCTGGATCCCCTAGTATGGTGATCTACCTTCGGTTGTTGTCGACCTATTGCCTGTTTGTATATTGCCTTCGTAAATAAAATGGTTTTAGATTTCCATGCTAGTTTTAGTCACCATCTGTGATACTCTAGTTATTTTACAGTCCTTCGATGACTTATTATTTATCCACTTATATTAATTGTGTATGCAAAACCTTTCTCGTCATTACATGTCTGAAACATTGCCGAGGCGACGTTAAACGTTAACTCACTCACTCACTCACTCACGCGCTCAATCACTGGACTGTGGATTATTTACATATCCTCGTCATATAAGTTGGATATTGTTGAACTTATCAAACATGACTGAACCGGACCAAGGGCACATGTCAATGTGATATTTACCTCAACTCATCAGAGAAATGGCAAGTCGTCAAATACTCACTGTATATCTCCAACCTATATTTGACGTATTTGTTTTGATTTCATAAGGGGCGTGACCACCATTTGCACCGCTCCATGTGTCACTTGAATGGCCAAACATGATGGCGTTCGGATTTCTGGCCATCGTCATGAGATTCTTGTAGAGATGTCGTGTCTCTGGTGTAGCGTGTTGATCGACTGGCGCACACAAACCATATTGGAGGACAGCGAGCAACAGTGTGGTGAATATATAGCTGCGGTAGAAATACATTCTCGTTACTTATTGACAATAAATAAATGAATTAGAAAACCCCCAAAACAACAACAACAAACACCCAAACGTTGAAACATTGTCATATCTTGAGCATTGATATTTGCAGTTTGACGTCATTAGTGAAAAGAACCTTGGTAACTTCTGATGATGGTTTTAGTCAAAAGAAACACAGTATGCTTAGTAAGACCTACAGTATGCAAAACCAAAGAAATGTCATTAAACCCGACGTGAAAATGGTTTGCTGTTAAAGTAGCTGCGACCAACATAGATTTCTTTTCGAACTTATGTTTACCATTTACAGAAATACACTCGGCCATTAATCTCCTTTCATCAACCATCACGAACTACCGGGATTTCCCCTATTTAAGCCCACTCGAAATTACGCCCATGGGCTTAAAAAGGGATATTTTCCCGTTATTAGGCTATGGGCCTAAATTAAGATTTCACATTTTATTGTTTGGAGTGACGTCCCTTTGCAAAAGCACATGTCAGCATGTATAACGTTTCTAGTGCAGTTACAGTTTTTCACGTGTACAGAATCTTTCGGAGTCTCAAGAGAGGTCAGGTACTCTATACCCAAATAGACAATCTCAATCCATATGACTCAAACGCAGTCGCAATAACATATGATAATATCATTATTAAAGTTCATTCCATTTTACTTAGAATAATTTTCTTCAGTTACAAGCATTTCCCGAATTTAAGCCCTGGGCTTTATTATGGGGTTTATATTTGTAAACGAGAAGATTCATTTTCCGTTATTGAGCCCAGGGCTTAAATAGGGGAAATCCCGGTATGAAGGATCTTTTTAATAATATCAGTTCTCATTTAGTCATTGCATTTTTAAAAGAAATAGAGTTGGTAAATGATTTGTAAATAGATAAATATTTTGATTGGAAGTTTACATTAGTAACTGAAATTGTTAGTGGCTGTATCCTCGAGGTGGGTTAAACTACTTTAAAATTATTGTTCCCCTGAGAGGATACGTAAGTCCCAAAGCATTCGAAGTAAAATTTAATAATTGACTTTTTTTTATTCATAGTAATATTGTCATTTTAATTGGTGGTTAAATTGGTGGTTATATGGTGATCTACCTTCAGTTGTTGGCCCGTGTTTTATATTGTATTGTCTTCTTTGATTAAAATGTTTTAGTTCTACATGCTTGTTTTAAATTAAGAGCTGTGATACTCATTTTTTACTGTCCTTCGATGACATGTTTTTACGTTCTAGATTTATAGATTTTAATATTGATTTAAATGAAATTGTTCTCGTCACGATATGGCTGAAACATTGCCGATCTGACGCTAACTCATTCACTCACTCACTCACTCCTTTCATCAAACATCAACCATTTTGACATCTCTACCCCTTGCAAAACTGTATGAAATCTAACAGATAGCTTTTTACACACAGAATGATGAATAAGACATGTGCCAATCCAGATTAATTGCATTAAATCGATGTGAAAATGCTTTTGTTGTTAAAGCAACAGAAACAGACAGTTCATTTCGAATTTAGGTCTAATCTCCTTTCATCAAACATCAAACATTTTGACATTTTTTATCACATGTAAAACTGCATTAAATCTACAGCGAAATTGTAACACTTACCTTATTGCCATAGTGATAGCAGGGATTTCACAGCATACAAACTTCTTTTCTCCCCTATATAGGCACTGTTATCTGAAATGGAAGACCATCTGTTTCAAAACCAAAAACTTCTCATGAATACAGATAATTATAGAATGTAGAGTGAGCTATGACTTGACTATATAAAACTATACATGCTTAAAAACGCCTTTAATGGTTTAGTGGATAAAACGTTTGCCATGAGAGCGGAAGGTCTTTGGTTCGATCACCTGTCCACACCTAAAGTGAGTGAGTGAGTGAGTTAATATTTAACGTCACATCGGCAATATTTCAGCCATATAGTGACGAGACCAAACCTAAAGTAGTTTATAGACTTTACTTGTGTTTACCCAGCTTGTTTTATTGGTTTTAATGGCAGTATTGTAGCTATATGAGGGCGTTCTGTAAATAATAGAATCTGGACCAGACAATCCTGTGATTGATATCTTGAACATGGATCTATGGAATCGGGATACGATGACATGTTTCAAGCAATTCAGGAGCCTGACATTAGTTAGTCACCTCTTATCACACAGGATGGTGCTTGCCTCGAACGGTAAAAATCAAAGACTGAGGCATGGTACCTCATGCGATGGCACAATAAAACCAGCATTCGTCCGGAATGCTATAAACTGCCAAACACATATACATAGACGAGTGAGTGAGTGAGTTAAAATGTTACATCGCATCGGCAATATTACAGCCATATAGCGATGAAAACAAGGTAATCAATTTAAATAGCTGTCGACAAAGGATAGTTAAACCAACTAGACTATTACAGATATATACTTAAACCTAGTAATTAAATCTAAAATACTTTAACTCTTCAGGACGATACAATATAAAAACAGGCTATTGATCGCCAACAACTGAAGGTAGATCACCATACTAGGGTCTATACATAGAAGATGCTCTATAGGTACACGTATCGTGTATGTGTAGTAATACAATTTGAGTGAGTAAGTTAATATTTACGGCAATATTTCAGCCATATCGTGACGACAAAATGTTATGTACTAAAAATAATTATGTGTATACTTATTTAAAAGTATAACAGTATAACGACTAGATTATCACAAATTGACTAGTTTGAGTTCAGTGTAAAATGTTAAATCCTTTCAAAACAACACAATATATAATCGGGCTGTAGATCGCCAGCAACTGAAGGTGGATCACCATACTAGGGACCATGGGGACTAACAGTACGTTTCCTTCCTGCAAGTACAGTAATACAATTTGAAATATACCGTTATCCCACACGTACTTAATCGGGTTTTTTTCTACACTAACCACATAAAGAAACTGTGCATTGTCAAAATATTATCCCAGTTGATAAGTACGACAACAATGTCAAAGGTACATATAAACTTTAATGGAGGGATCATGAGACCATAACAAGTCGGGAGAATTTCAATTGAAAAGTCAATCACAATGACGTCACGAGTCCACAAGCGGGACAGGGGAGTCCACAAGCGGAGAGTGGACATACACCTCCACTTGATATTAAAATAGCCTGCTTTGATAGACTCTGGTAGAGATGAACGCGCAAACGACATTAAATATGTGTTTGTATTTATGGTTGCGCCATCTTTCTTGATGGCAAAACGCTGAACTGCGGTTGCCGCCTGTTCCTTTAGCTCCGTAGCGATTTCTTCCTCAGACATGTCGGACAGGCAACGAGCCCTATCACGAACAATGCCTCGACAAGAGTTTAGTGTCCTGTGCACAGACACAGCAACCTCAATACCTGAAAATGTTTTGATCGATAGCAAATTGAGAGATTGCTGTCTCCGTGCACACTCCACAAGAAGTGAACCACTACGGAGACGGGTGACGTTGTTAACTTCACCGCAAATACCAGATACAGCCTTTGAGATTGCAAACGGGTTTAATTTAATTGGTAGGAAATCTACAGCCTCAATCACCAAATATCGTGGCCAGGAATCATTGTTTGAAGTGTGTTTTCCATTTGAGAGATCTAAGTCCTCTATACGTCTTTTCTTTTCCATAATGAAAGGAAATAATTGAACATCCCTGCTCCCCACCCGCCACTGAGTGTCAACAAGGACAGTGTCAAATAGCAACGGGTATCCAAGACGCCGACAACAAGGATACAAGGGTGTTATACTCCAGGGGAAAACAACACAAATAGCTGCATTTGTCAACCAATTTCATGCCCGACTGGTTCGGCCCAAGACAAGAAATTAGAGACATACATCATTTGGAGGTCATTATCACGAGATTGGCCCATGAGCCACCGCCTTCTGGCATAGGACTCTAGGCAAATATGTGTCATATAATTATAAATTACTGTCCCTGATCTTCTTTTCTCTTTCGTTCTTCCAAGATTTTAGGCCATCCAGGATCATAAAGTTCCAGAATTCTATCCCCAGAGAGCATACATGTTCTTTACCATCTCTTAGGTTAGGAAAATAGGGATTAAATTGACCTTTGACTTGAAACATACAATATTGAGTCCATTTTTCCGTGTTGGGCACAACAGCTTGTGCTGTGAATTATTCATGAAGAAAACGGGAGCAGCTTGAGGTGAAGTGTCATTGTCACTGGTTCACTGAGAAATGAAGCTGGATTGCCCTTGTGGCGTTTTAAGTAGAACAGACTTAATTGACCGTCAGCTTTCACAGCTTCGTACAACTTCTTGGTCCAGCATAACTATCAGCATTTGGATCATAATTCCTATTTCCTGGTTCCTATTCAAGTACCCTTCCAATGGAGACATGACTCCAAATAACAAGAACATGCAAAGACTTAACTAGTAATTTTGTAGAGAGAGATATCAAAATAATACCATCAATTGTTTTATTCACATACAGATAAAACAAATCAAGGACAATATTTACAACTGCAACTTTTCGTGGACATGCATTAATGTTTTTCTCAAAAGGTCTTTCCCCGGCCATTTCCAGGGTTGATTAATATCTTCATGAGATACATCCATTCCTATCCCCCATCATTTATCAACGGGGCTAGCTTCAACTAACTCCTTAGGAGAGGATTGAATGAATACATGTTTCAAGTCATTGCTCTGGGAAAGTTTAGCCATTAACGCCTGAGGTATAACATCAAGACTGACAGTGTCCCACACTGCCTTTCACACATCAGACAAAACGGTTTTGCTTGATTCTTGGTGCAGTCTCTTGTAAAATACCAATGTTTGATCAATAAAGTAAATAGAATGTAATACTGTAATAGTACAACTGACGATACGATTATCTGGGTCTATTATATACTTCCCAGCAAAAGTTTATACTCACTTAAAACGCTCACTATATGTTATGTGTGTATATATGTTAGCGTCAATAAGGAAAGTCCGTCAGTAGCGTTACGGCCTAGCCAATAAGGTACTGCCCAGCCAGTAGCGTTACTGGCTAAAACGACTGGACAGTAAGTTTACTGACTGAGTTATTTTTCATTTTTCCGCTTATTGCCTAAGTCAGTAGTGTTACTGACTACAACATTTCCAAAATATTTAGATGTTAATAGATATATAATTATTTCTCCATTGATTGTATTAGAGTGAAACAAAGTAAAAGATAGTACCGACATTCAATGTCACAATGCACAAAGGGTAGGTTATGTTAACTGATATTCACTACTCACTCATGATGAGTCGGCTGGATATTGTCAGATGTGACGGAGTTTCCTTATTGACTCACACACACACACACACACACACACACACACACACACACACACACACACATATATATATATATATATATATATATATATATATATATATATACATACACACACAAACACATATACATATATATATTCACCAAGATCCAGATGACAACGGAGATCCTGTAACGTGTGACTTGTCAGTAGGGTCAGGAGTCTCAAGACCCAGCACTTTCATGGCTTCTGTCTCTCCACATTCCTCCAAAGCTTTGCAAAAGAGTGTGTAAACTTTTAGCCACCATCGAGGTAATGTAGACAACACTTTTTTGACACGGTCAAAAGAGGTTTGCGTATATTAGGACTGTAAGCGTTGTACAACTGCCATGAGGTCGGAGCAATTCTTCTTGAGAATATCATGGTGAACTGCTTCCATTTTCTATCTTCGAGTTAAACAGCCAACAGAACCAGTAGGGTCAAGAGCATAGAACGGTTTTCACTGAGAAAAGACGTTCACTTCAAAGATTCAGATGAGAATTAAGTTCCATACGCTGTTTGAGAGAGAGAGAGAGAGAGCGATTACTTTGCATATGAGGCCATACGACCTACAGAACAAAATAGTACATAATATAATTATTGAGTTACCAAATGTGTACATAGTATGGATCGAAGAAACAAGTTTGCTAACAATGTTCCGCAAAATAAACGTATTTCAAATATTTCACAGAGTTGTTGATGATATTAATATCAGAGGATGTACAGAGACTTTGAATGGAGACGTAATGCCCACTTGATGCCTTTGGACATATTTGCATTCAAGACCATACAACCTACAGTACAAAATAGTACAAAATATAGTTGTTGAGTTACCAGATGGGTACATGGTATGTATCGAAGAAACGAGTTTGCTAACAATGTTTCGCAGAGTAAACGTATTTAAAATGAGAAAATTCACAGAGTTGTTAATGATATTAATATCAGAGGATGTACACAGACTTTGAATGGAGACGCAATGCCCACTTGATGACTTTGGTCATATTTTCATTCAAGACCATACAACCTACGGTACAAAATAATACATAATATAGTTGTTGAGTTGCCAAATGTGTACATAGTATGGATAAAAAAAAAGTTTGCTAACAATGTTTCGCAAAATAAACGTATTTAAAATATTTCACAGAGTTGTTGATGATAATATCAGAGGATGTAAAGAACCTTTGAATGGAGACGTAATGCCCACTTGATGTCTTTGGGCATATTTGCATATAGACCATACGACCTACAATACAAAATAATACATAGTATGGTTCTTGAGTTACCAAATGAGTACATAGTATGGATGGAGTACATACGCTGTTTGGGGACCTTATATTGCTCACTGGTGTTTAACTAGGTCACACAAGTGCA